TCTTGGCGGATCCAGACAGTCGAAAAGCAGCAAAGTCGACCCCATTGGTCTCCACTATCCCCATGTTCCTGAGAACCTCATGACAGCTATCTAAATAATCCTGGGGGTCCTCAGAAGATGCACCATTGAAAGTGGTAGTGAAGAGCTTGGTGAACCTGTCCAATCTCCACAAGGCATCAGCAGACATAGCTGCTCCATCACCGGTCTGAGCTACCACACCCGGCTGAACTGCTCCAACTGGCTGAGCTGCTGGAGTCTCAAACTGGGGAGCCATTTGCTCCGAAGTGCGGTTAGCGGGAGTCTGGGCTCCTCCTCCAGCCTGAGAGACAGCTGGTGCTACAGGAAGTAAGCCTGCCCAGGTGACACTCTCCATAAGGTCCACTAGACGGACCAAAGCATCCTGAAGTACCGGGGTAGCAATGAACCCCTCTGGGACCTAAGCTGGGCCCACCGAATCTGCCTGGGCCGGAACCTCGTCATCAAAATCTTCATGGACAAGTTGGTATCAGAGCTCTAGGAAAGGAAACAATCCACAACTCCAACTATCTTCAATTAGCAACTTTATTCACTAGTCCATGTCTAGTCCATCCATTTAACTTAATAAACATCAAGATAACCTTAAGCACATGCAAGAACACAATACACATACCTCCTAATGTAGCTTTAAGTCAAAATCCAAGTTATATTTAGCTTACAACAGCCATTAATGGCAATACAACACCATAGAAGTGACTTAAGCTACTCCAAGTATTATCTTGTAGTTTATCATCCTAACAACTTAACCAACATACAAGAAAGCTTAAGCACAATTAGTAGGGTGTTATACTCACATTAGATAGTAGCAACAACTTGAAATTTCCAAACACAGCCCACAACTATCCTCAATGACAACACAACCTCAAATAGGTGTTGTTCTTCACTAGAACTAACTTTTGATGTTGAAATATGGTGTAATCCATTTGAAAGACTTGAAATAACCTAGGGTTGATATGAAAACCACGGGAGAGTATTTTTCAGAACTTAAACCACTTAAAAAACCTCCCACACGAGCTGGAACCACCCAAAAATCAGCAACAACAAGAAGAACAAGAAACTTACTAGCGCGATGGGATTCCCGACACTTGATTTGTGTTGTTTTCCCTTTTTTGGGGTTTTGGATAATGAGAGAACCTTGAGAGAATGTTATTTGGTGTATAGGGTCTGAAGATACTGGGAAAAAAATAAGTTAAAACGGGGTTGAGGCGTCTTATATATATCAATATATCTAAACCGCCTGTGGGTCCCATAGAGAGCTGCTTGGCGCAGTTTCGCAAAAAAGCGAATATATCTAGTTCAATATCGTATCGACATACGGTTTTAATGCGTTAGATAGACTCGTAGATCTTTAATTTGGTTGATGGATCACCCCATAATTCAAAGTAAATGTAGAGAAAATTGCAACTACATTTGACCTAATTTTCAGCACATTTATGAATGTAACTTGTGATGACCTTTGCCAACTTTTGTTCCACAACTTGCTTGAATTAAAAACATAACACGCGACTATCATACGACTAAAATACCTCATAACATAACCTCTTTATCATATTAAGAACTCTAGTCTCACCCCAAAAGTATATGTTATAACTTCCCTCGCTTGTCGACTTTCGACGAAACTTATTTTCTTCAATTCTTTTAGCTTCTAAAACTTCCAACACTCTTGGCACTTGTTATTCATGACCTTAAATATTTGTAACCTCCAAGGTAACACGATTAACTTACTTTATGTACTTTCAAAGACAATCTCATTTATGAGCTTACCTCAATTGACTTATGATGTACTCTCACGTACGAAAATATGGGGTGTAACAATGTTAAAAACTCTCAGTCTAAATTTTAGCTCGATAACAAAAAATAAAAGGAAATCGAAGTTTAGGTTGGTTGCTTAAGCTGATTTTTTTATTTAGAAAAATATGCACACTCTCTCTTCTTTTTTATGTTGAAAATGGTTGTTGTCTCTCAATCTCTCTAGCCCCCAAATCTGATATAAAAAATCTTTTAATCTATGAGCCAAAAGTAAAAATGGACTGATCTAGAAAGCATATTTTAATCCACATAGGAAGGGAAACACCCAAAAATCCAACAGAAAGGAGAAAGATGCACTACTTAGCATATTTGAATCCCGTTTACGTGGTGAACGGGTGAGATTGACTATCTAAGTGATGATTGGACCTTAATATCTAACCATGTAAAAGATACATTATATTTAGAAGAAAATGTAATTTTCTATTGTAATTTATTCATAATATAGTAATACTGTATGTCTCCAAATAGTTACTTATTTTATTTCATGTGTTTGCGCTAAAATTAATCTGTAACCATGCAAAGTACTACGCTATATCCAGAGGAAAATGTAATTTACAGTTTCTAAGTTTAATCATAATTATATAGTAGTATTTCAATTTCAAACGTACGTGCATAAACTAAATTACGTTTAACACGTAATCAAATGGTTGCAACTTCACTCTAAATTAACCTTTTATTAATTTCTTCTTCTGTCGAAGGAAAAAAGAAATGAATGAACAAGAAAATGTTAAAATAAAAGCAAACCCCTAAATGTCGAAAAAAGAAAACCCACAACAAAGCCTTTAATAAATTAGTGGACTTATAAAATAGTAGTGAGAATAACAAGGTTTATTCACTCTTTTATCGAATAAAGGGCAAAGGCTTTTTGTTCCAATTTTATAGGGGAACTTGTCCCTAAACACACACCTTGCCCTTTCAATTTTCCCGGCCTTGGTTTTATCTACCCTTCTTTTACTACAAAACCTCCCAACAAGTCGAACTCAACTGTAAAACCCAATAAAAACTACCCCTTAATCCTCAGTCACCGGTAATTTTTCTCCTTTTTACTATCACCTTTGCTTCTTTTTTATTTTGGAAAAGAATTTAAAGTTAGTCCGTTTTTCTCTATCTTTTGTCTAAATCGGACATGTCTCAAGTGTCAACAACCGTCCACTACAAGACGACAAACAAACTGTGTAACAGTCACTTGATTGAAGTGTGTTTCTTAAGATTAATTTTCGTAATTACTAGGTCGAATTTTTAAAATAAACTAAACTATTACTCAAATGATATGAATCTTGATCCCATCAAGAATAAAGGGATATTCACGATTCAATTTGGACGTAAGTAACAGCTTGTTTGGAAGGTTGTTTCTCGTTGTATTGTACTGTATTATATTGTTATTCCAAAGCAGTGTTTGTTTTGATTGTTTCATTAAAATTGGTTGTATTGTATTGTTAAATCCATTGTTCCGGAACAATGAAAAGTCCCCTTTTTTGAAACAACTAATTTGGTGTGGTGGGATTGTTTCCTATTTTTCTTTCCAATTATGCCCTAACTTATTACTCCATAATTCTATTTTACCCTTTATCTTTTTTCTATTTTAACTCCAAATCTCCAACTTATAACCTACTTTGTTTTTTTCCAGACCAATGTTAAATGTGTTTTGTTGCCTCCTGTTTTATTTTTTCTCCTAATTTGCTTGTAACTCAATTCTAGTTAGTTGTGCTCCTTTGTTTTGCCTTTTTCTGTCTCGCTCCTTTGTTCTGCTTCTTTATTGTGTTTTGCCTTCTTTTGTTTTGTTTTTTAAAATTATTTTTATACATAATTTTGATAAATTTAATATATTAAATAATTGAGGGTATTTTAGTAAACTTATCAGTTACAGTACAGTACGATACAGTCAAACCAAACAACAAAATATTATTTAACAATAACAAACAATACAATCTAACCAAACATTGTATTCATAAAACGATGCGGTACAATTCGATACAATACAATACAATACATTATAAAACGATAGGGAACAATGATCCAAACAGAGTGTAAAATATATGAGACATGGAACTAGACACGGGTGGCTCTATGGTAAGGCCATTAAAATTTCTGTTTTAGGCTCCTAAGAGACAAAGGCCCCCAAAACATTTTTTATTAATTATAATTATTTAACAAAACATTAACATTTTATTTCATTACACTACATTGGTTCTAGTTATCAAATATTTTATTAGTAGATATAAACATTTGAATAATTTAACTCAAAATTTTAGAATATTAGACAATGTTATATTGTGGAACACTAAAAAGAAAACTTAAAACCTTGAAAAAAATTTGTTAAGACCATACAATTTTTTCTTGATATCTAAATTAATCGTATCTATTTGTCCAACCACATATTACTAATACGATTTTCTTACACCTTCTTAAGTTTTGACTTTAGGCCTCCAATTTCGAACTGCCGTGGAACTAGATCTATGACCACTTTGCTCGTAGGATATAACTACTTCAAGACGTACGTAACTTTGTTGTTTTAATTTGTTTTCGTCTATGAAACCAATAGGTATAAACAACACTTTAAAAGGATTTTTAAAAAATGAGTATTCGCTGCCAAGGCATAAACTAAAACGCATGACACACATCTTTTGCATAAATCTTATCAATATTAACATTATTGATTAATATGTACTCTTATATTTATTTTATTACTTGATCGTATATACTATAGGAGTAATAGATAACATGGCCTGATTACAGTAATTCGGGTAAGATTTCTGGATTTTTTTCTCTAGGTATTGACTTGACATAATAAGGAAAATACAATCTCAAATTTATCGCTAAGTTACGAAATAAATGAATATGCGGCTAATGAATGAACCTTTCTGATTTTGATACTTATAGAATTAGAATACTACTAATTTCATCTAATCTTTTCTTGGACTTTCTTCAAAGTTTGGAACGGTTAATCCAATTAGTCAGAGAATATTATTAAATTGCACATGCTTTAGTCATATTTCATCTGAGTAATTTATAACACTAAAAAGAAAAATTAAAACAACTTCCAAGTACGGAAGTTCAAAAAGAAAAAAAAATAGCCCCATAAAAGTAATGCGAGAATAAAATAAAATGATAGTTAAAACACAAAATTCAAAGAAAATACCATGGGTTCGTGACTCAACGTTTTTATCGATGAGCAGTTGATCCGAAAGTTGTTCCACGTGGCAGCATGTAAGGCCAACCTGGCAGGGAGGATATGGGCCCACCAGTTGTCGAGTAACCGGGTCTTAAGGTAGTTTCTGAGACAGAAACCTGGTACTGGCAGTGCATCTACGGGGCTTTTACCGTTAGCGCCAGTAACTTGTATAAAGAAGTGGGGGTTTAAGACATACATGCCGGTGGTTTATTTCTCAGGGTTTTTCTTTGGCCATGTACAACAAACAAAACATTGGATGGTTCATCATTACAGGGTATATTATTTTCGTGATCTCTTTTTTTATTTCTCCGTTGAATTTTCTGATCCTGAATTATCTTGTTGCTTTTAAATTCTACGGGAATTTGTCTTTTCATGGGCGATTCTTGGATTTGAATGGAAATTGTGGTGACTTTAGACGTAAATTTGATTGTTTTAAGGTGGGGTTGTTTTTTTTTTGTTTTTTTTTTTTTTTGGTTTGTTCCCAAATTCATAAAGTTATCATCTTTGGTTCAGAACTTGGTTTGGTTGGAGAGAAAATCTTGAAGAAACTGTCCGTTTTCAGAATGCACATGGTAAATTTTGACTGTTTGGTGTTTTTTTTCTTTTTTCTTTTGAGGTTTCTCCGTGACAAACAGAGCATTCTTGGAATTCTTAACTTTCAACGTTTTACCTTTCCTCTGTATTCAGAAAACTTTTTGGTGGACTTTTAGGTTCTATCCTCATCTCTTGGATCTAAGTAGGGGCTGCTATTTTTAGAATTTAACGTCCAAAAGCTTCTCTCTTATTTCCACTTGGGGTCCGTTCTTTGAAATTCAGGGTCCGTTGGATTGGATATATCTATATTTCCCTTTGTTTAGTTTGGTTGATCTGATGTTAGGGTACTTGTTTGGGGGGTGGTGGTGGCATTCATGATTACATTTCTGGTGTTATTCTGTATGGGTTTTGGGCGGGTTTTTTTTGTTTTTAGTATTCCTTTTTTTAACTTTGCAACAATTTGCTTTATCCTCGGGGGAAAATGCTCTCTCTGTCCTTTAAATATGTAAGAGGGTTCTGTGTATTGCACATTTTCTTTTATTGAATATATTCTAGTCAGATGCATAAGACCAGATTTTGTGACTAATACCACTGGTTTGATTCATGTATATCCTTTATTCCGACTGATCACAAAACATGTCATGTTGGAACTTCACATTTTTGTGTTTCTTCTATCAGCATTTAGGTTTATATGTTTCTTGCATTCTTGTTTTGCTGATCTGGTAATGGTTATATCACACTGCATATCTTAAACTTGCTTTTCCTTTTTCTCTATTTTGTTGGAGAGGAAAACCTTGAAAATCATTGAGTTCTAGCAATTCCAAGTAATTTCTATTTCACCGAATGTAGATTGGAAATAGCTTTTACTTTTGTCATTGATTGCGATAAGGATCCTATTTAATGTCCCTACTTATTTACCTGCTCATTGCATGTTGGATTAGGATTATGACATCATTCAATTTTCTCCCAATCAAGCATCGAATCGTGATTGAAAGGTGTAGTTTGAACTGCGTATTTAAGATGGGAAGCTTTCATTTACTCCGAAATCTAGCACAACTAGGGGGTGCCAACAGCTTTAGATATGATTTAAATATATCAGATCTTAATTGATCATCCCTAATATCTTGGTTGATAATCAGCATTTAAGTATCAATAAACGAAGATTATGATCATGAGGGGGTGAGTTTGGCATAAAGTTCTGCAATACAAGGTGCTAGTTTTGTAGGATTTGTTTCTCTACTGGCATCTGGTGCTTTATCAAACAGTGATGATTCTATTCTTTTACCTTTTTCCCTGAATTAAGAGGATTTCAACTCTAGGATCCTTTTGTTTCACTTTAAATTTTATTTTGAGCATCACTTAATTTATGATTTAACTAAATGTTATTTTTGCTTAAATGTCTCGAATTATAATGCTTGTGATTTTGCAGGGCTCTTCTTTGTTAGACTATGTGGTGCAGTTGACCACAGGAGTTGTGTAGCATGAAGTTTTTATACTGTAAAAATACTACTGTTTTTTTGTGTTCGCTGGATATTTCTTGGGATGGTTTCTGAGATATGGTGTTGCAGAAGAGGTTAGACTATGGATTCAATGGCTATCAGGTGCCTCCTATACCTCGAGCTACCAGATCGGCTAGGGTAATCGCACTTTTCAGATCCATTATTTTGCCTTATAAGTATATTCGTCTGCTATTGAGGCACTTATCCTGGTCTTATTTCCCTGTCAATTTCTGTAGAGAAGGGGCATTATTAGGAGGAAAGCTAATGGCGATGGAACATGTCCCTTTGACTTGTTAGCTACTGTAGCTGGCAAGTTATTGGGGGAGGGAGAGAGCTCGCCTGATTCTACGGGTTCTGCTAGAGGGAAGGAGCAAAATGCAATTGTGAAAGATGAGAAGATAAAAGAAAAATCTTATGCTGAAGGTTGTTATGAGCGGGGGTTCTTCATTTCTGAGCTTGTCTCACAAGCTCCAGTTGTAAATCGTTCTTTAAGTGAACTGCCACATGCTCAAAATGATACCATCTCTGGACCTGCATCTGTCACTATGAGTTCTGATTGCTCAGAGAAGTTCCCCTTTGCTAAACAATTTGTAAATGGTGAAAGCAGGGAGGAGGAACATGGAGTCTTTTCAAGTTGTACATTAGACACAGAAAGTGATAAACAGATTAAAATTGAGCTGTCAAATAATGCTAAAGTTTCTACAAGTAAGGGGGCTGCAATTTCCAGTTCAGAGTTCCCTGATGTTTGGGATAAGAAACCTTCAACACTACTTGTTACTTCAGATGATAGTGTAAAATTATCTTTGTCTCCGTATCCTGCTCCTTGTAGGTCCTTTCCGGTGATCCGGAATGATGTAAAGTTAGATAATAGAGATGATGACGAAAACTCTGGGTGCACTCAACCAAGCACCCCAAATAAGGCCTCTGGGTCAGCACCACGTGTACGAGATCGCCCAATTAAGAAGTTACTAGCTTCCAAATATTGGGAAGAAAATCTAAAATCTGACAATGAGGGGCATGCCAATACTGGTAAGTGTTTGTTGTTTTTGCAACCCTTCATATTCACTTGCTCTGGGGTTTGACACGAGGAGGATTTTTCCAGGTGGGAAAACAATGCATGCTTGCCACAATAGAAACAGTGCCTACAAGCACCAAAGGTCTCAGAGGGATTTTCCTTTCAAGAAAAGAAAGCTCTTCAAATGTGGCTCCTTCTCTAATTCTGATGGAGAGATGAGTACCGATGGAATTTGTAGTTCTCCAACAAGTGACTTACATGGAAATGCTTCCGGTTATAGTAAAGCATCTTCGGGAGGTTTGTTCGCTTCACAGTTTATGCCTTTCATGCACCAACATGGACATGACTCAGTTTTTACTTGCATGCATAAATGTGTGTATGTTTCGATCCTTATTGATAATTATTTACCTCTGCATATCAACTCTGACAGGCGGTACAGCAGCTGGGACGTCAGTCTTCAATGGAGGTCGTGCATCCTTCAAGCCTAGTGATTCCTGTGGTGAGAGAGCCTTCTTTTGGAGTTATCACGTGAATTCTCTTGTATTGCTTGCTCCGTCATTTGAAGAGGTTCTAATATGGGAATGTTTTTCCTTTCACGCAGTTAAGTTTAGAATCAAATCCTTCAGGGTTCCTGAGCTTTTTGTCGAGATTCCAGAAAATGCAACTGTTGGTTCTTTAAAGGCATGTGAAAGCGTTGCCTTCAAATACTAATTCACTTTCCTCAATAAGTTTCTTTCATCATTATTCTGCCTCATGCTACATTTTCTTTTTTTTGAATGTCAGTTTGGAAAAGCACTATTCATGCTCATAATATTTTGCAGGGGACCGTAATGGAAGCAGTGACTGCTATACTTGGTGGTGGACTACGTATTGGTGTGGTTTTTCAGGGTAAGAAGGTTAGAGATGATAACAAAACCTTATTGCAGACTGGAATTTCTCATGATTACAAGCTTGATGCTCTGGGCTTTTCACTGGAGCCCAATCCCATTCAAGCTTCTCCACCTCTTGGTCCAGATTGTCGTTCTTGTGTCCTTCCTTGTGATACACCTCAACCACTAACAAGGTATTCTATTTATCGATCTCTGATGGGTATTAGGACCGCAGCCATTGTTATTATAGAGCTCCTTCTGTTACTTCAGTTTAACAGCAAGTTATATGGCTAAATATATACCTGCGGTTATTTTGAAATTAGAAGTCCATAACTTCTTCCTACTCTTGGTGGGTTGTTTCTATATTTTCTAGTGTTTTCTGTCTTTGCTAGTACTCCTACATCTTTTGTGGAAATGTGCAGGAGCTTATTGTGTGTTCAATTTTTTGAACTTTATTTTGGAAACTACGTCTTCTTAAGAAACATGCTAGAATCAAAAGTAGTCTTAATGATTTTGCACTATATATATCACTAGGTGCCTATCTCCTGCTATTACTGGCATTCAGCAGGGGAGATCTGATGATCATACAGGAACAAGTTTGAGTAATTTTGTTGAAAGTGATCGTGATTCTGCTCCATCTCCTCATTATGCGGCATTGGAGAAAATTTCTGCAAATTCAAGAGCATTGGTTCCAGTAACTGCGGTAAATGCAGAAGCCTTGGCCGTAGTTCCATTACGGAAGCCCAAGCGATCTGAGGCCACACAGCGTCGAATCCGTAGACCTTTTTCTGTTGCAGAAGTTGAAGCACTTGTTCAAGCTGTTGAGAAGCTTGGAACAGGAAGGTATGTTTAGTATAACCATAATTAGTGCTGAAATGAGCTATGCTGTGTATGGGATTCTAGATTATTATTGACTTTTATTATAAATAAGAGTATTTCTTCACAAAAGAGCACCAAGTGAGTGCTATGTATCTGTACAACGAGTTACAGCTCTCGGGATCTCAAAAAAAAATCATAAATCTATCAAATTTCATTAACATCTTTCCCCAAACTCCCCCACCCCCACCCCACTCCCCCAACCAGGGCTTTTGTTAAGTGATAATGAAGTACAACGTGGGTCGGGCTGCAGACTTTTGATTTGTTTTTTAGTTTTTTCAGTTATTGTTTTGTTGTTTGGCAGATGGCGTGATGTGAAACTGCGAGCTTTTGATAATGCCAAACATAGAACTTATGTCGATTTGAAGGTATAACATTTGTCACTGTCTCTTGCTATTTAACATCGCACCATCCACAGCCAATTGTTGTCTTGCCTGCCGGGATCTCTCTTCCCATTTCGATTTTTATGCTTTACTTTCTTAATTAGCTAGTTTATTCTTAGCATGACTAATCTTAGAATCTGAGGAGTCTTATCCATTTGTTGCTTCTTCAAGCAGCTAAGAAATCATTTGGTTTTTAAAGTGGCGTACTTGCATGCATCTTGTATGTTATCTCCTTTACATCTCCAATACTTAAACAAAATCTTCTGTGAATGACCTGGAAAGGAGAAAAAAAATAGTCATGAGCCATCCTCTTGAATCTTGATACACATAGTAATCACATGACATTGAGTTTAATTGACGGCTGTTATCACTTATCAGGATAAATGGAAAACTCTGGTGCACACAGCAAGAATATCTCCTCAGCAAAGGAGAGGCGAGCCCGTGCCACAGGAGCTCTTGGACAGAGTCCTCACTGCCCATGCTTACTGGTCCCAACAGCAAGCCAAGCAACAGATGAAACAGCCATCGGACACTTACCTTCTGCTCTAGGATCACGTCGTGGAAATGGCTGCACGACGGGGGACTGAAAAAGAGGTTTCCTTATTTTTTGTCACTGTAAAATATCTTATGTTTAAAAAGTATTACCAGGGAAAGTTAATTAGTTAGTACTACATATAGTTCCTTGCATGGAGGGGTTGGAAGCTGGCTCTTTGTAAATGTTTGATAGAATAAAGTGCTTTGCTAACAGAAATTTTTTCCTGCCAAGATTTTGGCATTAAATGCTTCTTTCCTTGGAAAGAAATTCTATCTGGGGTAAGGGTATTGTACTTATGTACTTAACTCGTTCAATAGAAAAGGCAAAAGGGAAATGTTTTGTTCCCTATTTGATTGTAAAACTTAATTCAGCATAATATAATGATTCTTCACATTTTTGACATCTATTTCAATTTTAAGATTATAGATAGGTTCATCTTGTGTACTAGTACTACTTTTCTCTTCATTCTAGTAGATTGCACTTATGGTTACCACCACTAATACTTACGGATTTATAGCGCTATCATCCATGACAAGAATTTAAGTAGATGGCAAAAGGTTCAAAACTGAACCATCAAATTTTCACCAGTTACATATAGCTAGAATTTTGATAGATAGGAACAGTGTTAAAGATGTATTAGTTTTCGAACAAACATGTTAGGTACTATATTGTCTATAGAACATCATATTTCCATGTTAATTTCTGAGACATTACACACAAGTAATGAGATTGAAACAAGAAGTAGAATCTTCTAACACAAGCTGGGGTCTCAAAGTGTTGAAAGGTTTGATACCATGGATATGTATTCCATTGATACCCCCCCCCCCCCCCAACCCCAACCCCAACCAACAAGGACAGAAAGCAAATACTGGTACAACACATCTCATTGAAAGTCCTGCATGACACTAATATTATATGAGAAAATTCTGTCTTTGAGCTGACATTTATGAGCGTATATAGTCTTCCCTTCTTCATTTGCCTCAACCAGATAAAGTATAGTATATCAATCTCAGTGTAACCAGCATGTCCTCCAGTTTTTAAGTATCTTAAAGTGACTGAACAATATCTTACATGTGATGATTTTGAATTTAGGCATAAAGGAGTTAGTATTCGATTCTTAGTAATACCAGAATATTTGCACTTATAGGGAGTTCAAATTTACCAAATACCTCATATTATGCATGGTGTAGAAAGTAATATTACAAGCTAGTGGGAGATTATCGTAATGCGTTTGTAATATGCAAGTGCAATAGTTAAGTGTATAACTATTACAAGATGCCGTCATATTTCTAAAGGTACACCTGGCTATTAACAGAACGACATGATATGCATGCTTGCTTTTTGATAAAGAATATTGATGTCACTTCCAAATCCCATAAAAGCATGATCTTTACGCTACTAGAAAATTGTCAATTTTCATCCAAGTCATACAGATTGAAATCGGTCGGAAATATGTGTATTTGGTCGCAAAAGTCAACAAAAGTTGTTCCGACAACGGAAATAGTGATCCCACAGCAAAAAAATAAAAATTCCGACCGATTTCGGTCGGAAATTAGTCAATATTTTACCATCGACCGGTCATACTTGTATATAATGTACAAAAATAATTTTTATTAATATTTTTCCAAATTTTCGACCAATTTCGGTTAAAGTTTGAAATTTTTATTTCCGGCCCAAGACAAAAATTATATATATTTAATTAACCAACCGAAATAGCTTATAATTAAATATTTCGGACCGAGTTCGGTCGAAAAAACGATTTTATACATATTAAAAATAAATTTAATAATATTTGGGTGTGTCTGTGTGTAAATAATAAAGAGCTTTTAAATAAATAATATTTAATAATTATTTGATATATATATATATATATAGGATATAGTATTCATATAAAAGTAATTTTAACACACACACATATATATATATATATGTTATACTATACTATATGTACATCTTATATATACTATAATATAGCTATATTCGATATAAAATTAGCTATATTAAGATGTATATATAGTATAATGTAGTAAATATACTAAGTGTATCGTATATAAGCTATATAAGATGTAGTGCTAAGTGTATAGTATATAAGCTATATACTTTTTGTGTGTGTGTGTGTGTGTGTGTATATATATATATATATATATATATATATATATATATATATATATATATATATATATATATATATATATATATATATATATATATATAAATTAAGTATTAAATATTATTTATTTAAAATCTATTTATATGAATAATTAATATGAGTGAAATTAATATTTTAAAAATTGAAAACCGAGTGAAATCGGTCGGTAATAAGCCGGTCAAATGGTTAAACATTTTTTATTATTTCCGACCGGAATCGGTCAGAAATCGCTCGGAAATTTCGCAATTAGATCCAGCCCAGAAGGGAATTTCCCTCATTTTCATCTTCCAACTCTCTCTCTACTATCTCTCATCCATCTCCCTTCCCCACAGATTTTTGGCCTAATCCCACCCAAAATCAAGTCACCCACCCCCAAATAACGAAGCCCCACCTCTCCTCTCTCACGCCTATGCCGCCACCACCACTGTTCCGCTCCTCCACCACCATCACTGTTGCTTCGTCGCCTCCACCACCACAGCTACACCGCCGCCACGATCACCACCACTGCCATTGTTGTTCAAGGTTAGTAATGTACCTTAATTATTAGATTTTTAATTTTTAATTTTCAAAATATAATTTTATGTAATTATTTAGGGTTTTTGTATATTTAGGATTTGTGTGACTAAATAGGATTTTTGAACTACATTAGATTTAGATTTAGAATTGAACTACCTAAAATTATAATTTTTTAGGTTTTTTGGTTTGAACTACATTAGATTTAGAATTAAGGTATAAATTATGAATTGTATAAACTTGTACATTGTAACTTAATTCTATAATTTTGTGACTTAAGGTATAAATTATGAATTGTATAAACTAGTACATTGTAACTTAATTCTATAATGTTGTAACTTAAGATTAAATTATGAATTGTATAAATTGTGAATTGTATAATTTTTACACTATCAAAGAATATAAGTGTTACGACCCGAATTTCCCACCTTCGGGACCGTGATGGCGCCTAACATTGCACTCGCTAGGCAAGCCAGCGATACAGAATATTCACTTTTTTCCTTTATCGTCTTATTAGCAAAACATAACAAAAACTAAATCAGCGGAAATAAAAGCGAAAGTACATGATTTAACTAATTACTCTTACACTATTAACGAACGCAGAAATAGATACCACCCAGAAACTGATGTCACAACCCATGAACAGTCTACGAATACTACAAGTAATGGTTTGAAAGAAAATACATCTGTCTCGAAGAAAGTAAAATAGAAATGAAGTAAAGATAGGAGGGGACGCCAGGGCCTGCGGACGCCTGCAGGACTACATTGGGTCTCCTGAGTGCAGTAACAGCAACCAACCTCTCAATCAGCCACTAGGTCCGAAATCTGCACAGAAAGTGCAAAGTATAGTATCAGTACAACCGATCCCATGTACTGGTACGTGCCGAGCCTAACCTCGACGAAGTAGTGACGAGGCTACGGCGGGGCATAACAACATATAACCTGCAACAGTTTATACTAAGGCAGAAAGGAAATACCGAATAAAATATAACAGTAACTTGAATTAAATAAATACGAGAACCCAATCGTGCTACCAATACTCAGCTATAACCAATCCTTAAGGGAGTTTCAACACCACAATAATGACCCTTAGCAGAATATGAATATATAAACAACAAATGATGCGGTGCGCTTCCTGATCCCACCATATAATCAATAACAGTATAAATATTCACCCTTATTACTCCTTGTTGCGGCGTGCAACCCGATTCCACCTGTCCACCCTTATTACTCCTCAATATATCGCCCTTATTCTTCCTGTTGCGGCGTGCAACCCGATCTCACCTGTCCACCCTTATTACTCCTTGTTGCGGCGTGCAACCCGATCCCACCAGACAATCACATTTCACCATTATTCCTCCTGTTGCGGCGTGCAACCCGATCCCAATGTATATATCAACACCAATCACAAAATAAAGACAAGTGTTTCACAAGTTAACTCAAATCCTTCACAACACTTATACCTCCAACCAACACAATGGAATATCACTAAAATTATGAAACTTCACCAGTTAAAACTACACAGCGAGACCAACCAAAGTGTACCATGAAGCACCAATAAACCAACATAAACCAACACTGTGATATAATGAAATAATTAACAACACCGATAGAGAAACAACATTTAACAGGAAGCAATTAAACATGAAAGCCTCAATAAGCAAGTAGCAATTAAGATAAGAAAGCAATATATAGGGAAACGGGGAAAGGGAACAGGCTAAAATAGGTAATTTGGCGACGCATAGGTGCTCGTCACCACACCTATACGCCACACACATGATTTTTCACATAGCAAGAAAGTCGGGGATCCCTAATCCCTCAAGTCAAGATTAGACCAAACACTTACCTCAAGCCAACGGGTAATTCACAGCTCCAATACCGCTTTGCCTCTCGATTCCACCACCAATCCACTCGTATCTAGCCATAATTAACTTAACAACATCGATAAACCCTAAAGAAACCAATTCCAATGCATAATTATAGATTTCCCATCACTTTCCCCAAAAAGTCAAAAATCGACCCCGGGCCCGCTTGGTCAAAACCCGAAACTCGGACCAAAACCCGATTACCCATTCACCCCCGAGCCCGGATATACAATTGGTTTTGGAATCCGACCTCAATTTGAGGTCTAAATCCCCAAATTTTGAAATTCCTAAGTTCTACCGAAAAACACCCAATTTCACCATGAAAAACGCTAGATTCTAGGATGAAATCTTGTAAAAAGATGAAATAGATTGAAAGAAATAAATTAAGAATCATTTACCTATGATTTGGGGAAGAACTTGCTCTAGGAAAATCGCCTCTTGAAGTTTAGGTTTTGAAAAATGGGAGAATGAATCAAAAATTCCGTCTAAGTCCCTTTTTGCACAGTTGCAGATGTCGCATTTGCGACCAGAGCTTCGCAATTGCGAAGCTTGCAAATGCGAGACAGGCGTCGCGAATGCGAACCTGCCGCATTTCTGCTACTCTCGCAAATGCGAACATTTGGTCGCAATTGCGATAATTCCCCTTCCCTGACTACTTCGCATTTGCGAAGGTTGGTTCGCATTTGCGAACTATGCTGGCCCAGCCTCCTAATCACATTTGCGATGAAAGGCTCGCAAAAGTAGACCCTGCAGGGATCGCAATTGCGATGCCTGATCTCGCAATTGCGAGATCAGGGGCCTACAACAGCTGAAGCATAC